TTAAACTGCTGACTTATATTACAAACATTGACAACTTTCTTTTGCCATTAGATCTTTAATTTCTATTTTATTTTCTGAGATCTTGTTTTTATTTATTTATTTATTTTTGGAAGATGGACACAATACCTTTAGGTTATTTTTATGTGGTACTGAGGATCGAACTAATGCCTTACACATGCTAGGCTGGCACTCTACCACTGAGCTACACCACAGCCCCTGGGAGTTTTTTTTTTTTTTTTTTAAGAGTTTTTAACTTTTTCTTAGTAATATTGTTAATTTTAATTTCTACATATCCACTGGCCGCTTCAGTTGCTGCTTATTGTCACTGGGAAAGTCCTCAGTATGTTAAATTGTAGACATTGGGGCCTGAAAAAATTTCTGCATGTTCAGTATAGCATTTTATGATGAAGGCTTTTGTAATTGTCATGAGAAGTCTTTATTACTTCTTGTCCCCGTTCCCCCTCCTTAAGTACCAGTGATTGAACTCAAGGGCACTTGACCACTGAGCCACATCCCCAGCCTTATTTTGTATTTTATTTAGAAAAAGGGTCTCTAGTTGCTTAGCGTCTTGCCATTGCTGAGGCTGGCTTTGAACTTGTGATCCTCCTGCCTCAGCCTCCTGAGCGGTTGGGATTACAGGCGTGCTTCCCCATCTTTATTACTTCTTATGTAATTAAGAACTGAGTGTAAGGCTAGGGTTGTAGCTTAGTGATAGAGTGCTCGCCTTGCATGTGGAAGGCACTGGGTTCGATCTTTAGCGCCACATAAAAAATAAAATAAAGGTATTGTGTTCATCTCCAACTAAAAAAATATTGAAAAAAAAAAGGACTGAGGAGTGTAATAAGGTTTTACATAAAAACAATTTTTTAAAAGTAGTTGTAAAATTCTAGAGTTGGGGAAAGATTAAATGCTACCTGGTTGAGGTTTTTCCTCAATTATACTAGATAAATGATTTCAAAACTGCAGGCTTGTTCCATCTTTAACACCAAGAGTTTAAAAAAAACCTCTCTATAGTCCCTTTGGACCATAATAAAACAAATTTTTGCCTCTTAATCAGAAATTCTTCCATTGATTGATGATTAGCTTCACATTTTGATTTTTCTCTTCTCTAATTACTTCTTTTACCTGGCTTTTTTGCATGGCTTGGTTTTGAGACATTTGGTCAATCTATTCATATCCCTTTTGAAGTACATTAGTGTACAGAATAATTTTTGGAAGTTAAGAGTTTTGCTTCTTTGTGTGTGGGTTGGAATTGAACTTGGGGGTACTCAACCACTGAGCCACATTCCCAGCCCTGTTTTGTGTGGTTTTTGTGGGGGTGAGGGGGAGTACTGGAATTGAACTTGGGGGCACTCCATCACTGAGCCACATCCCCATCCCTATTTTGTATTTTATTTAGAGACAGGGTTTCACTGAGTTGCTTAGCGCTTCATTTTTGCTGAGGCTGGCTTTGAACTTGACATTCTCCTGCCTCAGCTCCTGAGCTGCTGGGATTACAGGTGTGCACCACCATGCCTGGCAGGGTTTTCTTTTAAAACAAGCCTTCAGTAGAGATTCCTCATTTGACTCACACTATATCCTTTCAAAATTAGTTTTAGTTCACATTGGTATATTTCAGTCATGCCATACTTTTTAACTAGTTATTTTTGTCTAATACTCTGTTCATATCTAGTTACTTGTAAATTTTTCTCTTAGTCATAGAAATGTATGAATTCAATTTATTTAATTTAAATTTAATTGGCCTATTCTTTTGAATTTTGATCCAGTGAATTCACTGTCCTTTTTAGTTGGAATATTGCACAAAATTGATCACGTTCTCTGTTTTACACATGTCCAGATTTTTGGCAAAAATGTTAAGTAGGCAGTGTCATTTCTAGATTCCATTTGTAAAGCTAAGGCTCAGGCCTGTATGCTGTAGATACCTGTTACCAGAAACTTCCCGATGATTGATATTACCATATTTCTTTTAAAAAGAGTTAAAAGGTTTATTTGCCTTCTATGAATGTTTTCTCTGATATGTGGATGCTAACACATAATAAAGGGGCACACAAATTGGAATGAAGGGAAGGGTCCAGGAAGCTTGGGAATGGGAAAGATAGTAGATGTATCAGACATACTTTCCTATGTTTATATATGAATACACAACCAGTATAACTCCACATTATGTTCAACCACAAGAATGGCAAGTTATACTCCATGTACATATAATATGTCAAAATACATTATACTGTCATGTACAAAAAGAATAATTAAAAAGATTTATTTGCCTTCTAAATATTTTGTAAAATTTGAAATTCTTTTGGGTTTTCTAAGTCAATTTGCTTTCACTCTTTACTGAATTTGCTGAGGCTGGCTTTGAACTTGTGATCCTCCTGCCTCAGCCTCCTGAGCGGTTGGGATTACAGGCGTGCTTCCCCATCTTTATTACTTCTTATGTAATTAAGAACTGAGTGTTAATTATCACAGATTATCACAGATTTAGTGCCATTTATTTTTGCAAAAAAAGTGGGGTAAAATTATTACGAAGTTTCTTTTTTTTAAATTGTGTTGGTATTGCTTAAAAATAATTTATTATTCATGGGCTGGGGTTGTGGCTCAGTGGTAGAGCAGTTGCCTAGCATGTATGAGGCACTGGGTTTGATTCTCAGTACCACATATAAATACAAGTATATATAAAGGTCCATCAACAACTTAAAAAAAAAAGGCAACTCAGTGAGACCTTGTCTCTAAATAAAAATTCAAAACAGGGGGTGGGGTTGTGGCTCAAGTGGTATCGCGCTCACCTGGCATGCGTCCGGCCCAGGGTTCGATCCTCAGCACCACATACAAACAAAGATGTTGTGTCCTCCGATAACTAAAAAATAAATATTAAAAAATTTCTCTCTCTCTCTCTCTTTAAAAAAAAATTCAAAACAGGTTTGGGGATGTGACTCAGTGGTTGAGTGCCCCAGTTCAATCACCGGTAACCCCCACACCCCCCACACTCCCCACCGCCCCCTCAGAAGAAAAAAGTAATCAGAAGTTAAAAATGCACTTAGCACACCTAAACCACTGAACTTTTCTGCTTAGCCAAGCCCACTTTAAACATGCTTAGAATACTTAATATCTGCCTAGAGTTGGGCAAAAAAATCATGTAACACGGAGCCTATTTTATAATAAAATCTTGAATATTTCAATAATTTATTCATTTTTTGCAATACTAGGGATTGAGATCAGGGTTACTCTACCCAGCCCTTCCTTCCTTCCGTCCTTCCATCCTTCCTGACAGGATCTTACTATGTCAATGAGGCTAGCCTTGAAATTATGATCCTTTTGCCTCAGTGATTTGTATACTTTTCTATACATGTTATATTTCTATAAAACTTATCAAAAGGTGTGAATAGTACTGTTTTAAAACCTATGTGTCTATTCACAGTGTAATTTTTTTGTTTGTTTGTTTGTTTGGTTTTGGTGGGATAGGTACCAGGGATTGAACTCAGGGGCACATCTCAGCCCTATTTTGTATCTTTATTTAGAGACGGTCTCGCTGAGTTGCTTAGGGTCCCGCTTTTTCTGAGGCTGGCTTTGAACTCTTGATCCTCCTGCTTCAGACTCCTCCTGAGCCGCTGGGATTACAGGCGTGCACCACCAAGCTGGCTCCTTTGAAGTTTTTTTTAATTAACAGTCCAGAGACTGAGACATTTCTGGAGGTGGGGGTTACATACCTCCAATTGGAAAAAATCTCTTGCTTTTATGTGTGTGTGTATACACACTGGGGATTGAACCTAGGAGTGCTTAACCACTATGTCACATCTCCAGTCCTTTTAAAAATTTTTTTTTATTTGGACACAGGGTCTTGCTAAGTTGCTAAGACTGTCTTTGAATTTGGGATCCTCCTGTCTCAACCTCCCATTAATCACGGATGTATTTATCTTTGCATTTTACCCATTTTTTCCCCAAAAGGATTTTATCAAATTCTTATCAGCTGTCCACATACATGTAAAAATGGATAGATTTTTATTGATTTTTGTCTCCGGTATAAGAAAAGCCTCTGGTTTTAAATAATGAAAATTGGAAATTTACACAGAGGAGGATTCTAGGTCAATAAGACTATTTTATTTCCCTGATAGATACTTGTGCACTTACACTGGGTCTTACTAATGAATTATGTCTTCATGAGTTTACATGGAGTTTTGTCTAGGATCTATAAGAAGTTAACAGTCTCTGTGTGTGTATTGGGGGCGGGGGGCGGGGGGCGGTACTGAGGATTGAACCCAGGGTCAGTCTTTTTTTTTTAAGGAATTTTTATTTGACAAACAGAATGCTCTTCAAAGAACAGTGACCCCCCAGGCTGGGACTGTGGCTCAGTTGTAAAGCACTTGCCTAGCACGTGTAAGGCACTGGGTTCGATCATCAGCACCACATTAAAAAAAAAAAAATTGACCCTAATTCAGCAGTTTGGTTTACATAATCTTTCAGTTTTGTTTTAAATTAACTTTGAATATCCTTCTGTTATGGGAGTAAATGAAATATGCTATAATATAGGAGCTTGAAACTTTAAGATTCTGAAAAGCTTTTTCTTACAGATATGTTCATAAGTTTAAAAATGTTCACTCTTTCGTTTGTAGCCAGAATTGGTGCAGTTCGTTCGTTCCTTTGTTCCTTCCTTCGTTCCTTCCTTCGTTCCTTCCTTCCTTCCTTCCAAAATCTTTTCTTATTTTTAGTTGGACAGAATGCCTTGATTTTATTTATTTAAATTTACGTGGTGCTGAGGATCGAACCCAGGGCCTTACATGTGCTAGGTGAACGCTCTACCCCTGAGCCACAACCCCAGCCCATTGCAGTTTCTTTGTAATACCAAGTTTTATACTTGTCTGTGAAATGTTGTAATTTGAAGATCCATAAGTAACGAAGCATACGTAAGGCTTAATGTATATTTAGAAGAGAATTGTAGTGATGAAGTGAATTTGTGAAAAAATGTTTTCTATTTCAATATTCTCTTTTTTTTTCCTCTCCCCTAGAGAATGGATCTTGGAGAATGTCTGAAAGTCCATGACCTGGCTTTAAGAGCAGATTATGAAATTGCATCCAAAGAACAGGACTTTTTCTTTGAACTTGATGTATGTGATTTTGCTTTAATGGATTATATTGTCTTTTGCAGCAAAATATCTTGAATATGAATCATTATCTTTAATAAGATAAACTCAGCTAATTATTTTTATATCATATCCGTTTTGCTTTTTATACATATGTATATATACATATATAAAGACAGTATTTTAGTGTAAAACTAATAGAAGAAATAGGTATGCGAATGGGTTCCAGATGTAACTTGCATATTGTTTCTCGCTTTATCTATTTATTTATGTATTTAATATGCAGAGCAAGGGCTCCAACTCAGGGAGTCACTATATGCTAGGCACTTGCTCTACACTGAGCTATCTTCCTAGCCTGTAATGTTACTTTTATATGAGAATTACTTGTCTAAAAATAGGGAAACTAAAAATTTTTTTTGCATTTTTGTGAGACATATCACTTAGCATTAAATAAAGCATATTGATGAGCTCATTTTATGGTTCCTTTTTCTTACTGGGGCTTGAACCCAGTGTACTTTACCTCTGACCTACATCCCCAGGCCATTTTTTATTTTGAGACAGGATCTTGCTAAATTGTAGAGGCTGACCTCTAACTTGTGAATCCTCTGCTTTTAGCCTACCTAGTTGCTGGGACTAAGCCCTGCTTTGTATTTCCTTTATTAGTGAACTAACAGTATACAACTTTTTTTTTTTTTTTTAGCTAATCTTGAATGTTGGCCATTTCTCATTGATTTGTTCTGTTTGCATTTTATGAAAATTTTTTCTCACATATTCCAAGTATTTTTTCCTGTTTTACATTTCTTTGGTGGTTTTTGGTTCTGCATATTTTTTAGTTGTCTAATTTATCAGTTTTCAAAAAAATCTATTAGATTAATTTGAAAGGCCTTCCCTATGCTGAGGTGAAAAGAGCCCTTTTTCCCTAGTACTCTTAAATCCTTGCTCCATCTCGAATTTATTTGCTCTTTTAGAATTTATTCTACTTAGTATGTTTAGCTCCTAGTAACTGTTTAATTGACCCAACACTTATTTGTTGGTTGGTCTTTCTTTTCTCTTACTGCTTTAGGATCTACCCTCTTTTTTTTTTTTTTTTTTTTTTTAATTGGGGCACTGGGTACCAGGGATTGAATTCAGGAGCACTCAACCACTGAGTTACATCCCTAGCTCTTTTAGAGACAGAGTCTCACTGAGTTGTTCAGCACCTTTTTTGCTGAGGCTGGCTTTGAACTTGGGATGCTCCTGCCTAAGCCTTCTGACCCACTGGGATTACAGGCGTGTGTCACAGTGCCTGAATTACTTTTATCTTGTCATAAGAAAATTCACATAGATTTCCATTACCATTTAAAAGATAAAGTTGACATTAAAAGAATTAAATAGCTATCTCTGTATCATCCCAGTTAGAAGAAACTTTTGAAATCATCCTTATTTCTTTGAAGAAGAATTTCATTTTTGTCCCTGTTCACTTTGAAGAAATTCTTGGGTTATCAGACTATTTGGGGGATTCCAGTATGTGCAGAATGACATTGTTAAAATTTTCCAATGGTTCGTTTTTTGAAAAGTTTTTTTTTTTTTCCTGATTGTAACATTTTCATTGTGGGAATTAAAAAAAAAAAAAAACAGAAAACAAGCAAAAATCATGAAATATTGAGAAATTATTATTGTTAACATTTTAACAATGTTAAACCTCATTTTGTATATGGTTATCTTTCAATTTTTTTCTATGCTGCTTTGTTTCATAAATGTGGGATCTTATTGCATATTATATTGGTAACTTGCCTTTTATTTGTAAGTGAATCTAGAAGTGTTCTATGTCTTTAAGTATCCTATAAAAACTTTTTTAATGAAGGAAGACCAAATTTAGAATATTTATAGCTTTTTAATGCTCTAACAATGTAAAGAATGTGTTTGAATATTTATCTCTACATATTTTTGTTAATTTCTTAGAATAAAATTTTGGAAGTAAAACTACTAAGGGGATATTTTAAAGTTTTTTTTCCCCTATTTTTTTTTATTGGTGCATTATAGCTGTGCATTCCAATGGGATTCTTTGTTACCATATTTGCACATGCACAGAATATGACCATATAATTTGGCCAATGTCAGTCCCCAGTATTTCCCCCTTTCTTCGCTTCATCTTTCCCCTGGACCCTTAAAGGGTTTTCTTTCTATATATAAAGTTTTACTTACCACAGCTTTTTTTTTTTTTTTAAGAGGGAGAGAGAATTTTAATATCTATTTTTTAGTTTTCGGTGAAAAACATCTTTGTTTGTATGTGGTGCTGAGGATTGAACCTGGGCCGCACGCATGCCAGGCGAGCGCGCTACCGCTTGGCCACATCCCCAGCCCTAACCACAACTTCTTGTTCAATTCTGGTGCTGAGAATCGAACCCAGTTCCTTACACATGCTGGGCAAGTGTGCTTCCATTGAGCCAAAGCCCCAGCCCCTTAAAGGGTTTTCAGTAAGAAAAATCACAGTGCCTTTTTATAAAGGCTGCATTGGTTTGTGCTTTCTTCAATAGAGTATGAAAGTGGAGGATTTTTTTAAATAGCATTATCTTTCCTGTAATAATAATAATTATTATTATTTAAATATGTCTAATTGTAGATGGACTCAATACCTTTATTTTATTTATTTATTTTTTTGTGTGGTGCTGAGGATCGAACCCAGTGCCTCACACAAGCAATGCAAGCGCTGTGATACTGAACTACAACCCCAGCCCCATCTTTCTGGAATTATTTATGTTTACTCTTTGCCAGTTTGGTGGAAGACAAATAATATTTGGGATTTACGATTGAAACTGCTTTTATTATTTTTTAAGATTTCCATTGTTTCTACTTATTAACATTTTAAAAACAAAGTATAGTTTTTAAATAAAGGTATTTCTGAATAAAATTAACTTTCTGGCAGTAATTATTTTTTAATTAAACATTTTAGGCCATGGATCACCTGCAGTCATTCATTGCAGATTGCGATAGAAGAACAGAAGTGGCTAAAAAAAGATTAGCAGAAACTCAAGAAGAGATTAGTGCTGAAGTGGCAGCAAAGGTAAGATTTCAGTCCTTTCATTAGTACAAAGTGTAGTTTCAACCCACTATTCATTTGTTTTACCTTTGTATTTTAAAATAATTAAATTTGTCGAGATTGCAAAGACATACACAAGGAATTCAATGTATTTTTTCTCTTGCCTTCCCCAGTCTTAAAATCTTACACAATTATAGTATATCAAAGAAATGGACCTTGGTTCAATTCTTACATTTCAATCATATTTAACCACTTTCACATGTTTTCGTGTATGCATGTGTGTATATGTAGCTCTGCAGTTTTATCATATATAAACTTGTGCATCCATTATCACAACTAAGATACTTAACTATATTAACATCACTATAAGACTTCCTTATAATTGGGCACCGTGGTGCTCCATGTAATCCTAGCAACTCTTTTTTTTTAAAGAGTGAGAGAGAATTTTTTAATATTTATTTTTTAGTTTTCGGTGAAAAACCTCTTTGTTTGTATGTGGTGCTGAGGATCGAACCCGGGCCGCACGCATGCCAGGCAAGCGTGCTACTGCTTGAGCCACATCCCCAGCCCCATCCTAGCAACTCTTGAGGCCAAGGCAGGAGGATCATAAGTTCAAAGCCAGTCTCAACAACTTAGCTAGGCCCTAAGCAACTTAGTGAGACTTTGTCTCAAAATAAAACATAAAAAAGGGCTAGGTATGTGTTTCAGTGGTTAAGTGCCCCTGGGTTTGTTTCCCCATTACCTCCCTACCCCCCAAAAAACCCAAACATTTCTTTATAATTCTCTGTATAACACACCCATATCATTCCAATCCATAACATTTAGCAATCGCTAAACTATTCTTCATCTCTATAATTAGTTATTTCATGAATATTAAATGAATGAAATTGTGCACTAGGTATCTTTTTTGAGATTGGTTTTTTCACTAACCACAATTTCCTTACAGTTCATCCACATTTTGTACATCAGTAGTTCATTTATTTTTATTTTTGAGTAGAAGAATTCCACAGTATGGTTATACCGCAGTTGAATCATTCACACATTGAGGAACGTTAAGGTTGTTTTCACTTACTGGCTAATACCAGCAGATCTGAAGTACCCATCTGCATATAGATATTTGTGTAGAAACAAGTTTTCATTTACTTGGAATAAATTAACTAAGAATGCAATTACTGGGTCATAATGTAAATCCATGTTTAGTTTTTTGTTTTGTTCGCAGGGGGGAATTAAACTCAGGGGTACTTGACCTCTCAGTCCTATTTTTGTATTTTATTTAGAGATAGTAAGTATCTCACTGAGTTGCTTAGCACCTCACTTTTGCTGAGGCTGGCTTTGAACTCAAAATCCTCCTGCCTCAGCCTTCTGAGCTGCTGGGATTATCGGCATGCGCCACAGTGCCTGGCCCATGTTTAGTTTTTGAAAAAACTGCCAAATTTGTTTTAGAGTGAGTGTACAATTTTACTTTTCTGCTACCAAGTGTGAATGCTGTAGTTTCTTTACATCTATTCCAGCATTTGATGATGTCATCATATTTCATTTTATCTGTTATGAGAGTAATGTAGTGGTTTTTTGTGGTTTCAATTTGCATTTACCTAATGACTAATGATGAGGTTTTTTTTTTTTTTCAGGTGTATGCTTGCCATCTGCATGCACTCTTCATTCAGTAAATGTGTTGTTTTATTCTTTTGCCCATTTTCTCATAGGATTGCTAGGTGTTTTTTTTTCCCCTTAGTTGTCGATGGACCTTTATTTTTTATTTTATCTATTTATATGTGGTGTTGAGAATCAACCCCAGTGTCTTACATGTGCTCTTCCATTGAGCAACAACCCCAGCCCAATTGCTAGTTTTTTTAATGTTGCGTTTTGATTGTTCTTCATGTTTTGCCTAACTTGTTAATTTTTTTCATTGTTCTTTTTAGTTATACATGACAGTATTGACTCATTACTTTAAAAACACACAACAAGTTGGGAGAAAGGATAATGATACCCAGTGAATCTATCACTGAATTTCAAAGCGATCGGTTTTCTGTTATTGTTTCATTGTTGTAAATTCTAGGTGTCACATCATTTTGTCTCTTTATAAAACAACCACAATATCACATCCATTAATCCTTTAATCCTATCTGATATCCAAATATGTTTCTTTTTTCCTGTGAGTCAGTTTGTAATAATCAGAATCTAAACAAGGTCCTATATATTGCATTTGGATGATTTGATAACTTAATATTTTACAACATAAATTTTGTACCATTCTGTATAATCCATTGCCTTTTACCAAAATGCAGTTCAAGAGTGTTCCTAAGGTAAAGTTCATATGACAGGATTCATATATAGTGTTTGGATAGTATGTGCAAAGGGAAATAGATTCCCTTGTGTGAAAAAAGGTTTACTTTCAGCTGGCCTTTTAAGCAGAGTTCTCTAAAGATAAGGAACTATTAAGATGGCCATCCTGAGCCGGGAGTGGTTGCATGCACTTGTAATCCCAGCAGCTCTGGAAGTTGAGACAGGAGAATAGTGAGTTCAAAGCCAGCCCCAGCAACTGCAAGGTGCTAAGCAACTCAGTGAGACCCTGTCTTTAAAAGGTCATTCTGAATTATAAGGGATATAGTATTTCATGGTTAAAAGAGATTGACAAATGCTATGTAGAGCCCAAGGTGAATTAGTTATACAGCATTGTATACTACAAAAGTGCTGTAAAACAAAACCACCTCAAAATTCAGTGACTTAGACAAGTCAGTATTTATTTAGTTCATTAGTGTGTAGTCAGTTATGTAGATTAAACTTGACTATTTTTCCTGTCACATGTTTTATAGTCAGCTGGAGACTACTGAGCCATACTCAGAAGGCTAGCTTGGCCATGTTTTCATAATGGTGAAAGATGTGCAGAAACATTACACCTAGTCATAGAAGTGTTTTTCAAGACTTCCTTGGGTCATATTAACTGTCCTTCCTTTAACTGAAGCAATTGCATGGCCAAGTTGAGTCAGAAGACAATGGTACTTAGTTAACATGGCAGAGGGCAGGGATACTGGAGAGGGTGAAGCTCTGGGCATTAATGCAGTTAAACAGTGACAGATTTTTAAAGGAAAGTACTACTTTGATAAAGAGGAAAAATAGTGATAACAGAGTTGGGAATGTCTTGGAGAGAAGGAACATCTTGGGTTGAAGGAACTTTGAGATGTAAAGATTGTTGACCATCTAGTTTGTTGAGACTGGATGTTCACATCACATAATAACCTTATTTGCTAATATGATTGGCCACATAGAGACTGAATACTTATTTTGATTCAAAGGAAAGACTGTCATGTGCCATTAAAACAGTATGAGGGAACTAGTTTCCCAGGATGATGATGAGGAAGAATATATCAAACCTAAGTCAAAAATGAATACCAATGGAAAACATGGACTCATGGAGGGAGGGTGACATGCAGGTGTTACGAAAATAATACTGCTTTGCAGTATACATACAAAGCATTTTTTTAAATTTTTCACAACTTCATGGGACAGGTATTATTCTTCTCAGATGAGGAAATGGATTCAGGTGTATCTAACTGGCTACAATTTCACATTCGGTAATTGGTTTATCAGCAATTCAGATATGGGACTTTTAAAGTATGTTCACCTCTAGCTTTACAGAGCATCCACTAGTTCATTTCTTTAATTCATATTTGAACTTATGTTTCTTGGACATTAGAGATACAAAGATGGGAAATTCAGACAGCTATCTTTAAGTTATATGATATGTATAAAAGTAATTGTGAAAAATGACACAAAGGAGAATATGGTCATTTGTGCTTACATGTTTCAGTGGGGCTGGCATGTGATGATTTTTCAGAAATGCTTCACAGAAAACACTCTTGGAATCAGATCTTGTTGAATGAATAGATATTCATTAGACAGGTAAGGGGGACATACCAGGAAGAGGAACAATCTGTGCAAAAACAAGCAGAAACAGGGTAAGTTTGGAAAACTAAAGATAATATAGTTTATATTATGAGGAGAGGAAACAGCAAGAGATGATTTGGGAACATAGAGAGGTCCAGATCATGGGAGGAAAGGTGTTTTACACTTAAGTATACCTAAGCACAGGCTACAAAGTAGCAGTTCTATTGCTTGCTAGTATCTTTGACCTTCACTGAGGTGTAGGCAGGCAGCCTCAGAACATCCTAGTGTCCCAGTGGATGTGATCATATTTTCTTAGATAACAAATCTTTTCTGAGCATTTCTGAAATACTTTGAAGTTTAATATTCTTTTATTTTTTCATGATTTTCTTTTCTGTTTGTTTCTAGGCAGAACGTGTTCATGAATTAAATGAAGAAATTGGTAAATTATTAGCCAAGGTGGAACAACTAGGAGCTGAAGGGAATGTGGAAGAATCCCAGAAAGTAATGGATGAAGTAGAGAAAGCACGGGCAAAGAAAAGAGAAGCAGAGGTAAGTTCTTAATAGTAGTATAACCTTAGTGTCTGTTCATATGGTATATTTGACTAGAAATTTTTACAAAGTTTTAAAAGGGAGTTTAAGCCAATTTGAAAATATTTAAGTGGTCTGTGCTATGCTGTTGGGTTTTATGTCAAAATTAGTGGTTTTAGGGAAGTTGGAGCCATGGATCTATTGAAATTTGTAACTTGTAGGTGTATTAAACTATCTAGTCACATACACTCAACAGTTATAGACACAGACAAATGCATACTCTGCAGATTCTTGGTTACTGTGACAACCTATCCCTCATTCACTCCCATGCTATAGTATTCTTGATTCTCTTCCCACCTTAGTCTAATCTGCGAATGCCTTGGAGCCTTCTCTCATTCTTTTTTCTTGGTTTCTTGGTGGTGTTTGGGATTGGGATCGAACCTCAGGGCTTCATACGTGCTAGGCAGGTGTCTTGGTATTGAGCTGCATCCCCAACCTCCTCCTCCTTTCTCAGCACAGGTCGAAATCTGATATCCTGTAAAGTTCTGTTTTGATTGGAACATCTGATAGATTTTAGGAAATCAAATGTCTTTGGTAGGGATTATACTGTACTCTTTTGCCTGTGTCCACTGTTCCTAAATGATCACATCTGGTTTGCTTTACAGTAATCTGAATGGCTTCTATAGGTTGTCTGACTTATGATTACCTACTTTCAGTGTTTTTTTTCTCAACCCCAGGCATCTTCCCCAACCCTAATCTTTTTTTTTTTTTTTTTTTCTTAAACTTCTCACCAGTGAGGTTTAATTGTTAAAGAGGACAGGGTCTTTTGTGACCAGATCAAAAATGAAAAGGAAAGCCCTATCACTCAAACTGCTTTAGGGTGCCTATTCTTTTTCCTTCTTTCCTTCTTTTCTGGTATCATTGATGATCTTCAGACTGGAGAGGAAAGGCAGAATATAGGTAAGCCATTTTATTTATTAATTTAAAAAATTTTTGTGGTGCTGGGATGGAACCCAGGCCTCACACATGCTAGGCTCTACCACTGAGCCATATCCCTAGCTCTTGGGAAGTTTTCTTTCTTTCTTTTTAAATTTCACAGTGATTTTTTGATTTCCCACAAAATATGAACTAAAAGTATTATAGGAGTCCCAGGTCAGGTACAAAATCCAGGGCTGGCCACTCAGCCCAAATATCAAACCCAAAGGATAATTGCAAAAAGCAGGAAAGTAACTTTAATTAGTGTAGCCACACTGGGAAGACATGTTTTTAGGCATGTTTTCCAGATGCTGACATGACCTGAAAGTTTAAATAGAAGGAGAATGGGGCATTGGGGAAGAAGTATGCATTGTTAAGCGGTCTTGGTCAAGTTGTGGTCTGATGGATCATTATCTCAGTTCTAACACTGTAGGGTGGCTCCTGAGAAGTCCTTATCACAGCTTTCTTATTTTAGTATATCTCCTTTAGCGTCTTTCCTTAACCTCCCTTAATGTTGCTGGTCAGCAGAGGAGAAAGGCAAGAATTGAGGGAGAAAAGGAAAAACTATGGTGATTGCTCCTCATAGTACTCCTATAATGCCACCGTTACAATGATGACCCTGAACATCAAGAAAATATTGTTCAATATTCCTTATGATATTATGTGATTATAATAAAAATATTACTTAAAGGAAGGGAAGAAACTAATACATGTTAGATGTTTTCCACAGAAAGGAGAGAGTTGAAGGAAGACTTATGCCCAGTATCTTATTTTCCAATCAGTCTTAAGTCTTTTTTTGTTTTGTTTTGTGTTGTGCTGGGGATCAAACCTAGGGCCTTATGCAAGCCCTCTAATACTGAGCCACATCCCTGGCCCTTCTAACCAGTCTTAATTCTTAATCACTTATTGATGTAAAAACTTTGTCTTTGGTTTGGTATCAGGGTAATATCAATTTATAAAATGAGTTGGAAAGTGTTTTCTCTTTCTGAAAATGTTTTTTTTCTAGAATTGGTATTATTTCTTGGGGTAGAATTTACCACAAACCATCTAGGACTGGAGTTTTATTTGTGAAAGGTTTTTTTTTTTGGGGGGGGGGGGGTGGAACTTGGGATTTAGCCCAGTGGGAAAGCACTGGGTAGAGCACCACAGGGCTACATCCCCAGCCCTTCTTATTTTGTATTCTGAGGAGAGATCTCACCAAGTAACCCAGGCTGGCCTCAAACTTGATATCCTCCCGCATAGCTGGGATTATAGGTGCATGCCACTATATGCCCAGCTTTTCCTATTGATTTTCTATTTTGCTGTTTATTGAGAGGGGAGTGGATAAATTTCAGCTATAGTAATTGTGGATGTATATCTGTGTTTTTTTCCCTTTTGTCAGTTGCTTTCATCATCTGTTTTGAAGCTCTTTTATTAGGTGAATATACATTTAGGATTATGCCTTTTTGATGAATGGACCCATTAATTATTTCCAAATATCCCCCCTTATACTTGGGAATGTCCCTTGCTTTCAGTTCTATTTTATCTAATATTTATATAACTACCTAGGCTTTCTTGTAAATTAAGTTTCTGTTAGTTTTATACCATAAGCCCTAGAGACAATATTAGAGGTAGAAAAAAGAGCTATAGATAATAATAGTAATAAAATGGAATTCTAAAAAAATACTCTAAAAGAAAGAAGCAGGAGCAAAGGAATAAATAATGTAAAGAACAAGTAGAAAATAAATTGCAAGATGGTAAATTTAAACCCAGTATACCAACAATTATGTTAAATTTAAATGGCCAATAATAATAGAAAGATAGAAAAAGATATACCATATAGCCATTCTTGATAATTTCAGTGTCTAAATATTTAGGGTTTCTGTAAGTGCAATTTTGTCAATCCAGAAAATAAACAGTAATTTTTAAATGAAAAGTACTTTATGGCTATAGCTAAATTATAGTTAATTTCCATGATGACTCTTAAGATAATCAAGCTAGTGAGCATTATTTCTTTTCCTTCAATATAATTGCCAGTTTCATGAATTTTTTTTCCCCTCTTTGGTACTGAGGATTGAACTCTGGGGCACTCAGCCACTGAGCCACATCCCCAGCCCTATTTTTTATTTTATTTAAAAACAGGGTCTCGGGCTGGGGATGTGGCTCAAGCTATATCGCGCTCGCCTGGTATGCGTGCGGCCCGGGTTCGATCCTCAGCACCACGTACAAACAAAGATGTTGTGTTTGCTGAAAAACTAAAAATAAATATTAAAAATTCTCTCTCTCCAAAAAAATAAAAATAATAATAATAAAAACAGGGTCTCACTGAGCTGCTAAGCACCTCGCTGTTGCTGAGGTTGCCTTTGAACTCACAATCCTCCTGCCTCAGCCTCCCAAGCCACTAGGATTACAGGCGTGCACCACTGCACCTGGTTCTGTGAATCTTAATATATGTGTAGTCAGAGGTTTACTAATATTACACAGTAGCTTAACATTGTTAGCCTCTTATGCATATATTATTATCAGTTGGTTTTTACTAAGAATAACACTTTAAAATTTTTACTTTTCTATTATAGATTGTGCTCAGCTCTATATAATAAAAAAACTAATTTGTGGCTTAAAAGCCACAAATTTTCTCAGCTAATATTTAGGATTAGGGAAACATAATTTGACCCCATAATGCCATCCAACATACAGACTATTTCTAGTTCTATGTTTAGCCATCCTTTCTGTGTGGACTCATCTTGATGCTTATCAATTTGTGGCAGTATTGGTCTAAACTACAGCCTTACGTGAAGGAAGTAAAAAGATCAAAGCATTAAAATGGAGTTGACATGCCTTCATGTATCTGTACATGTATGTTTTAATTTAAAAATTTTTATTTTGATTTATTTTCACAAAAGTAAAAAATAGTACAAAGACTTTCTCCTCTATCCTTTACCCCATTTAAAGTAACATTTACTTTATCATTTTTTCCCTGTATGTGGCTAAACTATGTCTATTTGTTACAGTTAAGATGCCTCTTGTCAGGCCAATGGCTAACACCTATAATCCCAGCTCTCTGTAGGCTGAGGCAGGAGGATTACAAGTTCAAGACTAGTTTGGACAACTTGGTGAGACCCTGTCTCATAATAAAATCATTTTTTTAAAAAAGGGCTGCAAATATTGCCTAATGATAAAGAGACTCTGAAAACAGATGCTTCTTTAACCCAAATACTTTGTGTTAAAAACAAAGATGTTTTATTATATAAACACAGCACAATTATGAAAATCAAGAATTAGTATTTATACAAGGCTGTTAAAGACTTTGTTCACATATCATCAGTTGTCCCAATAATATTCTTTATTCTTTTTTAATATTTATTTTTTAGTTGTAGTTGGACACAATACCTTTATTTCACTTATTTATTTTTATGTGGTGCTGAGGATCGAACTCAGGGTCTCGCACACGCGAGGCGAGTGCTCTACCGCTGAGCCACAACCCCAGCCCATATTCTTTATTCTTAAAGAAAGAAAATTTTTCCTGTCCAAGATTATATGTGTCATTTAGTTAGGCCTCTTTAGTCTCCTTTAATCTGGAACTGTTCTAGTCTGTCTTTGAAGAATACAATCTTCATAGTTTGGATAAGTATTCATCAGTTATTTTGTAAAATGTCCTTTAGTTAGAGTTTGTCTTAACATTTTCTCGTAGTTAGATTTCTTTTTTCTCTTATCTTCCCTTTCTTGCTTTTCTTGTTTTGTCCTTTCTCCTTCCTTTCTTTTTTTTCCCTTCATGTACTGGGGATTGAAAAGAGGGTTTTGCACATACTGAGCAAGTGCTCTACCACTGAACTACATGTCGAGCCTCTCATGATTAGATTTTTATAGGAATACCACTGTAGTGATGTATCGTTTTGAAACATTTGTTAGTGGTTTTCCCCATTTTTGGTGATGGTACATATTTTTTTTTTCTGGGAAGTTACTGCGTTTCCCTTTTGTAACTAGTAAATATCTTGGTATTGACACTTTTAAGCCTGTGTAAATAAGCTTTCTCATTCCTTTTTATCTGCAGGGTTACATCAGCCAGTGATGGGTTTTTATCTCAATTTATTTATTCTCTTTTGAAGAACTTTCCTATAGATTCTGCCTGGCAGTTTCCACTAGTATTTTAGGCAAAGTTCTGTGGAAGCTTGGAAAATGTCATATTTTTAGCTGGGTGTGTTGCTACCTCAAATAAAAGCCAGAGTCCTGTTAGTAAAGAAAAAAGAGGACAATATATAGGCAAACTCACCATTTTTTACTGTTTAATGAATTAATTTATACAAATGAAAATGTGTGAGTAAAAGATAATTTAATCTCGGGACACATTTTATCTCTTATCTTAGTAGAACTGTATTCCTTTTAGTGGGGAGACTTATCATGTGTATGCATATCCATATTTCCGAGGAGGGGAAAACAATCTTTGGGAAGGAAGTCTAACAATGTGGAAAACATGTACTCCTTTACAATTATAGGTGGCTTCTGTTTGCTTGACCCTTCACTGGTATGCAGTTTAGAGGCTGACCACATCATATTTTTAACAAAAACTATAGAAAAGAACATTGAGAAACCCTTTTCAGACTGTTGTATTTTGTATCGTGGTAGAACTATTAAGGTAGTTTCTTGGCAAAAGGTGTGTGGACCTGTAACCTGTGACTTTTGACCTCTAGGGAAGTAGTCTAAGAAAGGATGTAGTGGACAGGGGGACAATGGAGAATGTATGCTTTTCGTAACAAAATAGCCATGCTTTTATATTTTCTTGCATGCCTTTTTTTTTTTTTTTTTTGCAAGGGGTCAGTCTCAGAGATTTGTGCATGTACACAAACATTCTATTACTGAACCACATTCCTAGCCCTCTTGTTTGACTTTTTTAAAAAATTCTACAAATTTTAATTTCTAAGCAAGTAAATATCAGTCTCCATAACTCACAGAAGCAAAAGGCTTCTTGAGTCAATTTCTTATTATTTTGTTTTGTTATACTAGTGTTTAAACCCAAGGGTGCTTAACCACTGAGCCACATCCACAGCCCTTTATTATTTTTTATTTGGAGACAAGGTCTCACTGAGTTGCTTAGGGCCTCACTAAATTGCTGATACTGGTTTTGAACTTCTGTGACCCTCCTGCCTCACCCTCCTGGGATTGCTGGGATTACAGGCATGGGCCACCATATCAGCCTGGTCCTTTTTTATTCTTATCATGAAAGTCAGAAAGATCCTAGAGGCCAAAAACTGAGATGGGGACTGGGGTGACTGGGCCGTTTCCTGCTGTCACCTCATAAGGAGCCATTGTGAGGGAATTTCAAATACTGGCTGGATAAAAGACTGGCTGTTTTTATCTCTAAGTACAGAAAACTTTTGGTGGTGGTGAGCTGTTGGACTTCTAGATAGTGTGGTTGATGGTTGTGGTGTTTTGATATATATTTTAAACTTGGGTTTATTTTGGTTTTTTGTTTGTTTGTTTGCTTTTAATCTGGCATCCTTATTTGGTATTCCAGTGATAGGTAGGAAAAGTAGTCAGAACAGTGTAGTACTGCAAGGGCCCAGGTGCTACAAGACCAACTTCATGGACATAATCGGATCCTAAGGGGCATTGGGCAGGGTAGCTTACATTGTCACGGAGCATGCACATGGGGGACAGCTATGGCACTGCCTCTTGGAGTCTGGTGGTATGTTGGAGGAAGAGACCTGAAGACTATGCAGGCAGGTCATATGTGTCCTGAGCTACTGCCACAAGAAGGACATTGTGCACCTACACCTTAAGATAGAGAACATCCTGGAGATTGCTGGAGGCAATTTCAAACTTGTCCACTTCAGCCAGAGCACTGGATTCATGGCTGGGCAGAAGCTGAATGAGTTTGAGGGCACTCTCCTCTACCTTACCCCTGAAGTCATCCAGTGGAAAGAATATGAGGGCCCCACGGTGGATGTCTAAAGCCTGGGTGTCACTGATTTATGGCAAACACCACTAAGTGAAGAAGTTCATGCAGGCAAGATACGACAATCCCCTGCACATTTCCAAGGAAGCATGGAATGCTGATCAGTCAAGTACTGATGGTGGACCCCACACAGAGGCCCACAGTAGAGCAAATAATGAGCCACCCATGATAGAGCCAGGGTGAGGAATATTTACCCAGCTATTCTGTTAAGCCTGGACCCAACAATTATGGCAATCATGCTTGACGAGGGTTTTGAGCCCTGTAATACCTGGGTGTCCCTGGCAAATCTAAATACAATGAGGCAGTGGCTACATACCTGGTACCCCAGCACTAGATAATCCACGGGCATGCTTACACATTCCAGGTGAAGCCTATGTGTTGGGGAGTTAGGCCTTGCCAGGTCCTATATATCCTTTCAGTATTCACTTAAAAGTGCCAGTGAGCCTGCCCTTTCTACCCTCCCTCTATCCCTTTGAGCATCAGCTACCTGAGATGGCCAAGCAAGAAGTCAGGTGGTGGATGTGCCAGTGTGCCTTCTATCTGTCTGTTTCCTGCATGTGAGGACCTCCACTCCCAGCATAGCCTCCTATCCACAGTAGTTGAGCCATAGCAGACAACAGCACATCCTCCCAAGGTATCTCTATAGGGCAGTCCATAACAACAGCAAGGGCTAGAAGGGGGTTGGTTACTAGGAGGATAGCCACTTAACGTTCAACAACTGTGTTGCTGCATGCCTTGGTTTTGTGAGCTGGCATTCAGAGAAAAAAGAGGGCAGAAACGTGCTAGATTTAGAAGCAGAGTGACTCCAATGAAAATACAGAGACAGACAAATCAGTGGACAGTGAAAAGACCCTGAGATCTGTGGATCCTGGTGTGTGGGCATCACTGTGACGTGCATGTGGTGTGCATGCAGTCTGGCTCAGGCTTTCTGCACGGATTCCGGCCAGGAGCTCGATTCTACCAGGAGTCTCCTGTCTCCACCTGCAAGAGACATCAGAGGCTCTTTTCCCTGGGACACTTTCTCCTGCCCTGCTGTTCTCTGTCCTTTCTTCATACTTCTAGGAGAGTAGAGATGGTTCTTAATAAATTTCTGTTTCTCATACATTGTGTAATAAAACTAATGTTCCTAAGATTTTTTTAAAAGGCAGATTAAAAAAAAAAAGTGCGGGGGAGGATTCAGAGCAAGGGCAATTATCCAGCAGCTGTGCTCTCCAAGGCTTCCCTCTCCTATGCAGTGTAGGTAGAGTCTTACTCTCATGGAGCCAGTGTAGACTGATTCAATTTCAGCTGGTTGCTTTGCTGTGAAAATTCTTTCTTGGTCTTCAGGCCCCTCCCTGAGGTGTGAGGAGAGGGTGGGTGACAGCTGTTGGTGAAGACACATCTGGCAAGGCATTGGAGACCCCAGAATGTTCTATGGCCTTTTGTTTGTCTTTTAATGAAATTTATGTTTTTGTTTTTGTTTTATCCCTCACTTTTGTTTAGGAAGTTTATCGGAATTCTATGCCAGCTTCCAGTTTCCAACAGCAGAAACTTCGCGTCTGTGAAGTCTGCTCTGCCTACTTAGGTCTTCATGATAATGACAGACGACTGGCCGATCATTTTGGGGGTAAACTGCACCTGGGATTTATTGAAATAAGAGAGAAGCTTGAAGAATTAAAGGTACTTTGGTAAATTAATATCACTGACTGTCCTATTTTGCTACTTATTTTTTGATCTGCTATTAGTTGTCTTTGGAATAGTATTCTCAGTTGTGATTTATGTCAACAGTTCACACTGAATAGTGTAGAATTATAAATGGAGATTCAGGCAGGTTTAATGGATGATGTCTGAGAAAAAGGCTTTTCAGTATTATTCTGTTATTCTGGGAGGTATCATTTTGTGTTGAATTAGTCATTTAAACTGGTTTCTAAACTGACCCTTTTCTACAAAATAACACCTTACCCTAAAATGTAAGGTGTTATCCTTTTCAGTAAAATCAATAATTATATATTCATATAATATTTATAGGAGAATTGAGAAAATGAGCCCAGTATGTGTTGAAATATTTTGGAGTTCTTTACTAAATATAAGCCTATAGAACCTCTAGTTTTGGGCTGGGGATGTGGCTCCAGTGGTAGTGCGCTCGCCTAGCATGTGTGAGGCACTGGGTTCGATTCTCAGCACCACATAAAAACAAAATAAAGATATTGTGTCCACCTAAAACTTTAAAAAAAAAATAAATGTTTTTTAAAAAAATAGAACCTCTAGTTTTGTCTACCTTCCTCCATTTCAGGAAGGAATTAGGACAGCCTATGAAAGAAGGACACTCACTATTAGTTAATATGGGTTATTGTAAAAAGGCAGCATAGTTCTTATCTCCCTAGTGCTTTTGAGGGAATAAGCAAATACATACACACAAAAAAAGTGAGGTATTTTGAAGTGGTAAAAGGCAGAGTTACTAGATATCAGTTTGCCTTTCAGCTATCTGATGTGGCTTATTTTTAAAGAATATGGTATTGTAGCCTTTTGTCACAAGTTGAAGACTGGCCCAAATATTGGCAACACTGGAGAGTCACTTTCCATGTAATTGTATCACTGGAATTGATCCCAAGATTCATGGCTTAACTTTTACAATAATGAGGAGTCAGAAAACACCCAGTGAAATCAGGTGTGGTAGTGCACATCTATAAACCTAGTGACTGGAAAGGCCGAGGCAGGAAGATTGCAAGTTCAAGGCCAACCTTCACAACTTAGACCCTCAGCAATTTAGCAAAATTCTGTCTCAAAATAAATAAAATTGGCTGGGGATGTAGCTCAGTGGTAAAGCACCTCTGCGTTCAATCCCCAGTACCAAAAAGAATGAAAGGGGAAAAAAAAAAATAGGGACATAACCATATTTTCAGTATGCATTTATCCTCTCTCCATTTTTTTGAGTAGCTGGAATAAATCTCACAGTTTCTAAAAACTGTCAAAATGGGTTTCATTTTAACAGAGAGTTGATGGGCTCTGTTGATAACACTACATACTTGGGATTCTTTGCAGAAACAGACTTAGCAACAGAATCCTTTATCACTTTACTCATATCTTTAAAGGCAGCAGCATTAAAATGGTACCATTGCCTCATTGGAAATGATAAGGAATGGATATTTGTGATGGTTGATGTTCATTATAAGTATATAAAAAATAATGCTGGGAAACATTCAGAAAAGTCTTATTGAAGTAATTTTAAAATATCATGAAGAAATCATGGAAAAGTTTGCGATATTGCACATTTTCCATAAAAGGGAGGAAGATTATAGAAAGTAGGGTGTGAGCTTAATAGTTACATCTGACAGGGTCAAATTGAATTTTTTTTCCTCAACAGATCTTGAAGTTAATTATACTATGTTGGGAACCAGAAATGGTAAAGTTTAAGGTAAAGATAATTAATAATTGACCTAGTAAATAAACTTCTTATTTATTGTTTTTAAGAGAGTTGTAGCTGAGAAGCAGGAGAAAAGAAACCAGGAGCGCCTGAAACGAAGAGAAGAAAGGGAGAGGGAAGAAAGGGAGAAGCTGAGAAGGTATGGCATGATAAATAGTCCAAATATTTGAAGTTAAGTTTCCTGGTTCTAAAAAGAAATGTGACTGATACATGATTTTAGATGACATTAAGTCTCTTCTGGAGCATTGGAAAATTGCTTTTACTTTTTAAAAATGAAAGGCAGTTTTTATACAGACATACAGGCTGAGTATCCTTTCTCCAAAGTGCTTGGTGTGTCAGATTTGGGAGGTTTTATTTGATTTTGAAGTGTCTGCAAAAACCTTACTAGTTGAACATCCCTAATTCTGGATCTGAAATGCTCCCAAATCTTAAACTTGATGAGCATCATATCTGTGCTGAAAAAGTTGTGAATTTCAGATTAGGGATGTTCAATCTGTATTAAGCCTTAGCCATTAAACTAAAGGCAATTTATAGAATGTGTGGAAGAGTGAATAGAAAATGCTTTTTGTCTTTAGGTCTTATAAGATTTATAACAAAACTGTATTCTAGCTTTTTGGTTTTTCATATTGCACTAGATTTGTACTAGGTTGGCATAGAATTATATGAGTCACTTTTACCCATTGGCAACTAAAACTGTATAGCATCATTGTGGCAACGTTCTTTGTGAGTTGTGTTCATAGTTTTTTAAGATGAATTTATGATGGACAGGCATAAGAAATTAACTTACGGTTCTAATAGGTGATGTTTCCTTAATCATAATGTGTATGATATCTCTGAAATTTTAACACCTCTCAGAGTTAGTAGATGTGCCTAACTTCATTAAAACCCTTTATAGTATGTGAGTAGACCATGCTAACTACTTCTAAGCTTTGAGCCTATTAAAGAAATTTTAAACTTTATTTGTGTTGACTTTTAACTGGTAATCCTTTTGCACTTTAAGAACAAAATGGAACAAAGCTGTGTGGATATTGTTTCTTTAGGGGAAATGCTGTCAGTTTTTCCCATTTCTCTCTGTATACACATACACAGCTAGCTATGAATATATATTTTTTTCATTTACCATAAATTTTACCTCAGACTTTTATCTGTTTGTTCTTTGGTGTACATTAAGTTCTTATGGGGATATTACTAAGTATTGTAATATTTAGGATAGAATAAATAGCATTTTATTTAACATTGGAATTCTGAATTTAAGATTCAACTGAGATGATAATCAAATGAGAACAAACATTTTTTGCAAGAATATGCTTTCACATTTGTAGATAATGAGAAAGAAAATCACCAACTCCTTTGCTTGCTGGCTGACCTTTTTTTTTCTACTTTGATTATAAAATGTATTCCTCTTTCAGGAGGCAGGGGTTATGGCTCAGTGGTAGAGCACTCGCCTAGGACGTGTGAGGCCCTGGGTTCGATCCTCAGCACTACATAAAAATAAATAAAGATATTGTGTCCAACTAAAAAATAAATATATATTTTTTTAAATGTGTTCCTCTTTTAGCTGGGTGCGGTGACACCTGTGATCCCAGTGACTCAGGAAGATTGCAAGTTTGAGGCTAGCCTCATCAACTTAGTGAGACCCTAAGCAACTTAGCAAGACCCTGTCTCAAAATAAAAAATAAAAAGGGTTGGGGATGTGGCTCAATGGTAAGGTACCCCTGGGTTCAATTCCCAGTGCAAATAAAAAGTACACCTCTTTCAGAAATGTGTAAATTTTTCCTCTGTGACCTTGAGAAGTGGTGTAATTAAATGCTAGTATAAAAGTTATAGGAGGGGCTGGGGTTGTGGCTCAGTGGTAGAGCACTCACCTACCACATGCAGGGTGCTGGATTCAATCTCAGCACCACAAAAAATAAATAAATAAAATAAAGGTATTGTTCCAACTACAACTAAAAAAAATATTTTTAAAAAGATTATATGAGAAGGGATTCTGACTTTGGTGCTAAAAAGGACAACTGAAAAACAATCCTTATCACTTACTGGATGCCAGGCATTGTACTAAGAAATTCACTATACTGGGGCCAGGGCTGTGGCTCAGAGGTAGAGCGCCTGTGTAGCAATGCCCAGGGTCCTGGGTCTGATTCTCAGCACTGCAAAAAATTAAAAGGGAGGCTTGCAGAAATTCACCTTAATTAGTTTACCTAATCCTCATATACACATACCCCAATGAAATTTTTTTTTTTTTTTTGTATCCTTCTTTGTCACTGTCAGACTAATAAGCTAAGGGAGGATATATGTGACCCACTCACAGATGATGAGTGGTAGAGCCAGAATTAAAACTCATGTCTGCTGGACAGTGGTACACACATGTAATTCCAGTAACTTTTGGGAGGCTAAGGCAGAAGGATTGCAAGTTTGATGCCAGCCTGGGCAACTTACTGAAATCATGTCTCAAAAATAAAAAAAGTGACTAAGTTGCGGGTGTTGCAAATTGGTTGAGTGCCTTCCTAGCATGTGTGAGGCCAAGGGTTCAATCCTTAATACCACAAAACGCACACACACAAACACACACATGTGATTGATTACTCATTGTGTGTTAACAGTATGCTGGGTCATGTGAAGATATGTAAAGTTGAGCTGGGTATTAAGGGAAAAACAAGTGACAGAAGTATAAATAACATAATTTTTCTAGGCTAGCAAATGGTTTCTGAAGCAGTAAGGAGTGTGATATACTATTGTGTTAGTTTCCAGGAACATATTATTATTTTTTTATTTAAGAGCCAGGTATCCAGTTAAGGGATCTCATATAGCAAGATGGGGAAGTCTATAATTGGTGGTACATTTGGGGGGGGGGAAGTGTGTGCTAAATACACACTTTGATGTTTTTAAACTAAAAAAATTTAGGAGTCAAGAAGAATTTATTTAACAGCACATTGCACTGTTTGTTAATTTATAGTCACTTTTCTAAAAATAGATATTCTCTTTTTAGGTCCCGATCACATAGCAAGAATCCTAAAAGGTAGGTATTTATACAAGATAGGTAGTGAAGTTGTGTTTTTCAACAAGTGAAGATAAATTAACTGTCTTATAAAAGTTAATGAGAATTAATAAATTATTACTATTTCTTTGTTTTGGTTCAGTTTTGAACATTATCATTTTAGGAGAAACTGATCAAAAGATTCTTGAATCACAAAGTTTATCAGAGTAAAATTATATACAGTACTCTGGAATTACAAGGGAAAGATGTCAAAATATTCTTAAATATTTCTTTAAAATCTTTTTCATGCTAAGTAAATATGGTAACTTTTAAAAAGTCAGTTTGTGTGGTACATTTAAGGAACAGCATTCTAAGAGGTTGTTGTACCTGTGGAAAATAGAAATACGTTGATTAGTTAGATAAATTTTTGAATGAGATCTTAGTAGGTAAGGGAAACTAAGCTGTTTAGTCTGTGCCTCATTTTTGTCTTTTGTGAGTCTACCATTCTTCCCTTTGTATTGTGAGTACAAAAATATTTCAGAGGCACACTAACAGATATAAGGAGGGAAGGGACAGATAATACTTCCTTTGATTTTTAGTGGTAATATTTGGGGTATTTTTAAAAAGTCTTTTTCTAATTAATTGAAACATTTTCTGAGAAAGGTAGAGAAATGTGTTTTACTTCTTCTTTCTTGGTTCTTTTCTTGCTGTGCTCATTTTGTTTTGAGCCTTTCTTTATAAATCCATTCCCACCTAGAATGCCCTTTTTCATTCTTTTCCAGATTCTACCATTTCTCTTGCTCTGATTACATTACCTTTTAAAACAATTTTTGTTTCTTCTTTTTAGTTGTACATGACCATAGAGTGTATTTTGACATATCATGCATACATGGAGTATAGCTTCCCATTCTTGTGGTTGTACATGATGTTGAGTTACACTGGTTATATTCATATTACATCACCTTTTTGAAACCTGCAAAGTCTTAAACTCCAGAGAGTAACTTTTTTCTAAGAACTTAGTCCTAAAAAGTAGAACATTTGTTGTTACGAAATAAAAACTTCATGTTTCTATTAGTTACCCCTTAGTATATTTTAGAATCTTTCAGTGATATTTTTGCTTAAAACCCTAAAAACAATCCAGGCATAGTTGTCCGTACCTCTATAATCTCAGCTACTTGGTAGGCTGAGGTGTAAGGATCACAAATTCAAGGTCAGCTGAGCCTTTTTTGTCTCAAAAAGGGATGGGTGGGGCCAAGGATGTGGTAAGTGTGGTAGTCAGTGTGGTAAATTACTAGGCGTAGTATATATTGGGGTTGAGGGGGAAACCCAAAACAAACAAATCAAAAATTATACAAAAACTCAAGACATTAATAAAGGAACCATTTGCTGGGTGCGGTGACGCATGCCTGTAATCCCAGCGGCTTGGGAGTTTGAGGCAGAAGTATTGCAAGTTCAAAGCCAGCCTCAGCAAAAGCGAGGCACTAAACAACTCAGTGAGACCTTGTCTCTAAATAAAATAGAAAATAGTGCTGGGGATGTGGCTCCCTGATACCCCCCAAAATAAAGTTAAAATAGAAATCTGCCAAATTGAGGACTGGGAAGGAAGCCCTCTGTAGAGGGCTTGGTTGGTTGGTTGATTGGTTGGTAGACGGGTAGGTAGGTAAGTAAATAGATGGCATTAGATCATCTAAAGGTTTTCCATGTCATTCATAGAAGTCAAAGTCTTTATTACAGTCTTTAAGTAGGGGGACCATAAATGCCAGTGTACCCTCTGATAGTTCTGTTGGATATTTTCCCTTCTTTTAGTCTTCCTTAAAATGCTATCCTATCAGAAAAGCCTCTCCCTATTTTTTTTTTTTTTTAAATGGTTCTGGAGATCTAACCCAGGGATTCTCACATACCAGGCCAGTGAGAATACCCCAGCCCATCTGCATATTCTTTTTTTTTTTTTTTTGGTACCCAGAATTAAATTCAGGGGCACTTGACCGCTGAGCCACATCCTTAGACCTGTTTTGTATTTTATTTAGAAATAGGGTCTCACTTAGTTGCTTAGCACCTCACTTTTGCCAAGGCTGACTTTGAACTCAAGATCCTCCTGTCTCAGCCTCCAGAGCCTCTGGGATTACAGGCATGCCCCACCGAGGCCAGGTCCATCTGCATATTCTTTATAAAATATTACTTCCCCATTTCTCTACCCACCTTTACCCTACTCTGTTTATACTAGACAGAGATCTATATAGAACTAAAGAGTATAAGCTCTTAGAGGCCAAGGACGTGGATTTTTTTCTTTTTTTTTGTGGGGTGTGTGTGTGTGTGTTTTGCAATACCTGTTGAACCCCAGGGTGCTCTACCGCTGAGCTGTGTCCTCAGACCTTCTTGACCCTTCTCTCCCTCGCTCCTTCTCCCCCCATCTATTTGTCTCTCCTAACCTCCCTCCCTCCCTTCTTACCTTCCTTTTTTTTTTTTTTTCGGTTCTGGGGGTTGATCCCAGGAGTGCTTTACCATTGAGCTACATTCCCAAACTTGTTATTTTTTGAGACAGGGTTTTATTAAAATCGCTGAAGGCCCAAGATGCAGAGACTGATATTAAAGTTGTGGGCCTCCTGCCTCAGTCTCCCAAGTTGCTGGATTTACAGACATATGCCACCATGCCCAGCCCCTCTTTTTACTTTTTTTTTTGAGACAGGGTCTACTTAAATTGCCAGGCTGTTCTCAAACTTGGAATTCACCTGTCTCAGCCTTCTTAATAGCTATGATTATAGGTGTGTGTTGCTGTTCATGGCTTGTACTTATTTTAAAGTTGAATAAAAATATGCATTGGAAGAAAGGATTCATAATAGGTCCAAATGAGTTTTTAAACAAAATGTTACTTGATAAAATTTTTATTTAGTGAATTTTACATTTCTTTTCCTCTGCTCCTTTTTGGAAATGCACTCTTCAGTTGTGGAAATATTCTGTTTGGCTGTGATGTTAGGTCCACATTACTTACCTTTCCTTGACTATAACGTTGACAGAAATTGAAAGCTTTTCAACTTCATTTCTTATATAAAATAATCATTTGAAAATGAACTTAGTGTAAACTGTATCTGAATAATTTGTTTTTGAATGTACTATATCAAGTTATGAGAAAATATCACATTCTCAAGGCACTTTAAAAATTTAAACCACTTTATCATTTACATTCTATACCATAAGATTTACCTATTTTAAATTTGCATGTCAGTGATTTTTAATAAATTTAAAGCTATGCAACTATCACCACATACTAGTTTAGAACAACTTCATCACTCTGAAAGCATTTTTTTTTTTTTTTTAAACTCGTGCACTCAACCCCTGAGCAACATCCCTATTCCTATTTTGTATTTTATTTAGAAACGGTAACACTAAGTTGCTTAGCACTTTGCCATTGCTGAGGCTGGCTTTGATTTCTGTATCCTCCTGTCTCAGCCTTCAAAACCACTGGGATTATAGGCATGCGCCACTGTGCCATCTGAAAGCAATTTTTTAAAAAGTTTTTCTTTTAATATTTATTTTTTAGTTGTAACTGGACACAGTATTTACTTATTTATTTTTATGTGGTGCTGAGGATGGAACCCAGGGTCTTGCACGTGCTAGGCAAGCACTCTACCACTGAGCCACAATCCCAGCCCCCTGAAAGCAACTTTTTAAATCAAACAGTACACCTTTCTCTCCTCTTTGTTTCCCTCAAATATTTCTGTTCTCTGCATGTCACCTCTACCCTTCCACGCAAGTGATCTGGTTGAGAATACAGAAGTGTTTTTCCGTTTCTACTCTTATATACTTATTAGTAACATCCTCCCCCACCCCAGTTTAGGTTAAGTTCTCAAAAGTGATTTTTTGCATGTTTTTTTTTTTTTTTCCTCTCCAGTTATGTGCTACTTGAATAGAGAACTACCTCGCTGTTTTAATTACACTGTGATCTATTATACTGTGGGTATTTAAAACTTACATCTGTGGTCATATAGCCTTTTCAATTCAGAGAGGATAATTTATCCCGAATAGTATTCTTTCCCATGCTTCTCCTTCCTTCCTTCTGTCCATGTCCATCAGGTACATAATTTAATTTCTAACATATTTCAAAAATTCTTAGTCTAAATGCAATTAAGTCCCTAAAGCATTTAGACATTATAATTCCTAGCATGTAGTAGTTGTGAAGATTGTTGTTCTCATTTGTTATATTCCTGAAGTAAATTTACACAATACTGATTGACCTCTCAGAATTGGTATTTTCTTGTTTGCAGGTGTTAACATATAGCAATTTATTTTAGTATAAATTGAGTTGATTTGGAATAAAATTGGCAGTAAGACAGGCTACTAAGGAATAATTTCTCTTTAAAGAACAGGCATTAGTAAATAATAAATGTATTGCTTACAACATTATAATAAAATGAAATAAAATCTTGTCTTTTTGTAGATCCAGGTCCAGAGAGCATCGCAGACACCGGTCTCGCTCTATGTCTCGAGAACGCAAGAGGAGGACTCGATCCAAGTCTCGGGAGAAACGCCATCGCCACAGATCCCGCTCCAGCAGCCGCAGCCGAAGCCGTAGTCACCAGAGAAGTCGTCACAGTTCTAGAGATAGGAGCAGAGAGCGATCCAAGAGGAGGTACTGATGTGCCGATCAGAGGATATGGAGCTACCTTGATGGTTTAGCCTTTTGTTTACTTATGTTACTTATGTTTAGAGTTTAGATTATTGGTTTGAAAACTTGCACCTGGTGATATGTACACATTTGTGTGTGGGTGTATACATTTCTTTCCTGATTATATGGGTAGTTCAGAAAGAATAAATTACATATGAGCCAGAGGAAGAAATTGAAACTGATATGTGCAGAGGTTACTGCTTTTCTCTGCTTAGTATGTCTTGAAAAAACGTATTTTACAGGCAAATAATTTTTAGATACTAATACTCTTCAGTTTTTTCAGTATGTATTAACAAATTAGGGACTCTGAGAAGTCCTTTCATTAAAAGAGTTGTTTAGCTTTGTTTGACTTACTATTTTCCAAACTTATTTGAGCTGGTGCGCTTTTTCAGAGCAGACACATTCTAGTATATTCTTGTTTAATCTGAAGTATAGGTAATGCATTGTTGTATACACTGTTGCTTGGTGCAGGGCAAATTCAGAATTTTAAGGAAGCTACACAACTTCTTGGTATAACAAAAACTACTTAAAAAGGTGCAAGGAGGGTAGGCATATTTAAGGTATGTTTAAGGACCTGAATATTTAGTGAGAACCTGAATATTTGGCTTAGAATGTGGTAGAGGAGTTTAGCACTCACAATCTATATAGACTAAACTCTCAAAACCTCAGGTCACATGGTAGCCCTCAACCCAGATAATTTGTATGGAATATAAACCATACTGAAAATTGCTCTTTTTTTTTTTTTTTAACTTTTCTCCTTCCTTAATAACCATTCTTAAGTATATAGAGGATAAATATTTTTTGTGTTTCTAGTATACTTACTAATCTCACATTTTCTATGGAGTCCTTTTCATTAAATCCATACTGAATCCATGGAAAGCTGTTAAAAATATTTCCTTTATTTTGAGTCTCAGCTACCCATTCCTTGAAATCATTTACAAGCTTGAGTGATTAATAGGCTCTCAATCAATATTTTTATAATTATAATATTTCTGACCTTGTTCTAAGTAATCCTTAAGGTGACTTTATTAAGAATTATTATATACTTTCTACTACATTATGCTTAGTAAAAAAATAATATAACATAGTTGAGCAACCATGTTTAAGTTGCTCTAAGAAGTTCTCTGTATGACAACACAGGACTGCCATCCTTGACCACAGATAGTGCTAACCTTGATATTATAGGGTGAGTCATCTAAGTTTAGATGAGGAAAATGCCAAAGTAATAAAAAAACAGCTTCAGGTAATCAAACTTGAATAAAGTAGATGTAATTTAATCAGGTAGGAAAGTTACTTATAATAAGGCCACTTCTCATACACTTTTGAAACTGGATATCTTGGAGGCCACCGTCAGTGCAGTGTCTAGAAATAGGCCTTTAAAAAAAATTCTCCATGAGTCTTAACCTGCACACAGAAATTTTGAGAATCATGCAGCTAGGCAGTTGAAGATCTAGATAATTTCTTGTGTTGACCTGCTCAACTGTCATTGTTTCTGGTGTTTGTGAACTCTTAAATGTCCTTATTGGTGGTGGAGATGGGAGGGCTGGGTGTGAAGTCTCCTTCTCTGAGATTGTGTCATCTTAGTCCCTGATGCTTCCTGCATTTGTGAAGTTGTATAGGAAATTTTCCCCATACTACATGATACCCCTTCACATCTAAGATTTTCAGCATGTTCATAAAGAGGCTTATTTTTGTAAAACTATTAAAAGTTTTGCTTTTCTCGAGAACTTCTCATCTTTGAATTCAAGTTACTCTTTAAAAGTTATTGTTTTAAACCAAAAATTAGCAAATAATTGCCCTTAAAACTTACTTGTTATTACACACAACATCAAGTTATTGCTACCAGTGTGGATTTAATTTTTGAAGGTTAAAGTTCCCTTTCAAAGTCTGACGTTGTGCTCTTTCCTTGCCCTGCTGTGAAGCTGTGAAGCACTGGTCTCTGATATATGTAGATTGTCTTTGTGATCTTTCCCTGGCAACATTTCCCGTGGGTCAGTGAGGACTATTTGTAGCTTTCTGCTCTTGCTCTGTGTAGAAATGAATAGTGCAGACTTCAGAGACAGACTCGGGTCTGGCGCTTTGCCCAGTATCTTCATTATCCCTTTTGTCTTTCCCCATTTCTTAAGTAGAGATAGTACATATTTATTTGCTTTATTAGGATTATTGGTAGTATGAATAAAGTAGTGTATGGAAATTGCTCCTGTGTGGGACATTGTGATTTCTCAGAAAGTGTTAGTTGATGCTCACCTTCAGTTATTATCACTGACCTCTGGGATTTACCAGTAGGTAATGTCTTTATTCTTAGGTATCATTTCTATCATCTCTCTTCATATTTCATTCCCATAAAGGCTATGGATAAGACTAGTTTAAATTTGCAGTCACTATTCTTGCACTCTAATTTTTTTTAACACATCATTTTGAAATTAAGCTTACTAAAACCTTATGTAAAATGTTCAATGTTGATATGATAGAATATTTGAACCTTTTAGTTTAATCCTTCTTAACTGTATATATAAAATGGAGTATAATAGTATTTTTTTTCCCTGCCTTATGTCTTCCTGGAAGTCTTCTTACTCAGGGCTGGGGGTTTAGCTTGGCAGACACATGCTAAGTATACTCAAGGGCCTGGATTCAAATGCCAGCACACGAGAAAAGTATTATCCAGGTCTTGCCGGTGCCTCCAGAACCTAATTTTGAACATGGATTAGGTGAGGTAATTATGTAAAAGTTCTGCATCACCTGTAAAGAACCAAATAAGTAATATTTGTTACTGATTAATTTAGATGTTGAGAGTATAGAAGACTATTCTAATCCCATAATATTCTTTCGTTTTCCTTCTAAATCTCTGATATGAACTTATTTATGACGTATCTTTCTTACTGAGGATGGGGATGGGAAAGCAAAAGGTAATAAGAAACTTTATTATAGTGCGATCATCTTTTTTTTGTCTTCCATTCTGGTTTTAATGATCTAACTCAGGAGGAATAAAGCAGATTTTTAAGTTAACAAAATGGTTATTTACAAGCCATATTATTGAGTAGTTCTTTTGTCGGTGTTGGCAGACTGTTCCCTACAGGCCACACAAGGCCTATATCCTGTTTTTGTATAGCCAGCAAGCTATGGATGGTTTTACATTCTTGAAAGGTAGATGTAAAGAAAAGAATTCTACTACCATAAATACTGTGTGTCACCTGCAACACCTCAGATATTTACTGTCTGGCCAGATAAACAAACAAAAGATTTGCTGACCCCATACCAAGTTACTGATTTCCATCCAGTTTGGAATCATGTTCTTATATATTTTTTAAAAATTTGGTAATACCTTTTACTTTTTAAAGCTATTATCAATGTATTATTTTTATATTAAATACTTTTTATGAATTGGAGATGTTTTATGGTTGTCTCCAGGATACTGAGAATATCTTGACATTTTAGCTTATGCTTTTTGACCCTAGCTTTTGTTGCTACCTGTCTTGTTTTAGAGCCCTTATCAATGACCCTAATAGTGCTCTTTTCTGTCAGTAAACTGACTCCTCTGTCTTGGATATATTCTAATATATTTCTTCAGCTTTCTATTTATCCTATTCTTTAATTTGGATTTTGGGTTTCCCAACATATTTTGCTCCTCAAATTAATATTTTTCAGATCCTCAAAAGAAAGATTCAGAGACCAAGACTTAGCATCACGTGACAGAGACAGGAGTTCAAGAGACAGATCACCTCGTGACCGAGATCGAAAAGATAAGAAGCGGTCCTATGAGAGTGCTAATGGCAGATCAGAAGACAGGAGGAGCTCTGAAGAGCGCGAAGCAGGGGAGATCTAATTAGCTGTGTATATATCTTCAATCCTTAAGCTTCCTACGGAGTTACACACTATTGTTTAGTTTACAGCTGTTCAGGGTGACAGTGAGCAGTTCCAGACACTGATCCAGCCAGGCTAGATGTACAGTATCTAACTTGATCTGAACTGAACCTGTTTTCCTTGAGAAAGCCTAAAACTACATCCATAGTTTCTGGTGAACCTGTAATACAGTTCTGAGAGTGCAGTTTTTTATAATACGACATTGATCTCTTTATTCTTTCAAGTAGGAGTGATAGTGAATGAATTGTGTTACTTGCCTTGGGATTTTTTGAACATTTGTAAGACGCTGTCTTCCTTTCTACTCCAAGCAGCAGCTTTGGGAATTTTTCTTTTTAATTCTTCTGTCTCTGACTTTTGTATCCCTTAATACCTGTACCCTCCAACTGTAAGAGAAAGGGTCAGGGAAGCAATATAACTTCTGTTCTAAGGTTCTACTCCCATTAATTACTAGCTAATTACAGTTCAGAGCATTTATACTGGAATGTGTGCTGGAGAAATTAAAATACTGGGGTTTGTTGGATGGTGCCTATTTAGAGTTGGAAGTTGAACAGCTGTTGCATTACATACTTTCGCTTTTTTATTGAAGTTTTGAAATCAGACTTGTCTTGATTTTTCTGTTCCATCAAATTGCTATGTTCAGGATGTTCTGAGGGGGGTGGGGGCAGGGACTCTTTCGTAATAAGCACTTGTTTTATTTTGTGTGTGTGTGGAGTATAAAGGCTACACCCTTATTGTAAAAAATATTAATAATAAAATGAAAGAAACAATCACCACCACCATCATTAAACTGTAACTTGTCTAGTAAATTGTCACTAGAACTATTTCCTGTGGGTATTTCCTCTATTCTGTCACATGGTTAACAGGGCCTTACTGTGCAAGGCACCAAAGGAAGTGAATATGTATTTGCAAAGATTACAGAGGAACTGTGAACAGCTCTGCCTACACCCTTGCTGACTGTACTCCACTACTTCAGGGCTGTTTGTAACAGCTGCTGTAGAGAAGGACTGGACCTGCAGAAATAATGGGGGATTTCTTGTTTTCTTGTTTTTCTTATTCAACAAACCTGAATAAAACCAGTATGTAACCAACATAATGAAACCATCAGTTTCTGCATTAAAGAGCTATATACCACCAGGTGTGGTGGTGCATGCCTTAAACCCAGCTCCTCAAGAGACTAAGGCAGGACCATTCCAAGTTTGAGGCAGCATGGGCAATTTAGTTAGACCTTGTCTCAAAATAATATATATATTTTAAAGAGGTAGGGATGTAGCTCGGTGGGAGAGTGCTTGCCTTGTGTGAGGCCCTGGGTTTGGTCTCCAGCACTGCCAAAGGACAGTATACCCACTAGTGACTTAAACATAGTTGGCAGGTATCACTTGTAATTCTAGAAAGTGTGAGGAACACGGGAGCTGGGGTTGTGGCTCAGTGGTAGAGCACTTGCCTAGCACATATGAGGAGGCACTGGGTTTGATCCTCAGCACCACATAAAAAATAAAGTTTAAAAAAAAAAAAAAAGGCAAGAAATGACTTTTAAGACAAAGTATAAGGGAAAAAAATACATTAACTAAAATTAGTGTCTGTGAATATAATTAAGATAACCTTTCAAGAGCTGTTTCTGTGTAAAGCTTGTTACATTTGACATGACAGGAATATGGGCCTCTGTGAATATGAGAGAACAGGAAACTAATGCCATTCTAAGTAATAATAATATTTTTATGTCAAAAAGGGACGTCGATGGGGCTGTGGTTGGCTCAGTGGTAGAGCGCTTGCCTAGCATGTGTGAGGCACTGGGTTTGATTCTCAGCACTGCTTATTTATATTATTATATAAATAAATGGATAAAATAAAGGTCTATCAACATCTAAAAAAAAATAAGGAAAAAAAAGGGGGGACATCAGTGTTCCCAGTTTACCAAGTGATGCTTGAGGTTTTACACGTTTGTTTTATACAGAGTTTAGCCTGAGAGGCCTATCTATGTCCATGGCTCATTTCCCGCTTTCTACTTTAGGTTGCTTGTCTAAAGCCAAGCATGCATTAGACAAATAACTGGTTTGTGTCTGCTTTGTTCCCAGTGGCTTATGGTATTCTCCTAAATTCTTATGATGTCTTTGAATTTAGTGTCTTGGATGTGAATGTAAGATCAGAGGGATTAACTGGTAGTGCAAGGAAATATGTCTGGGACCTGAACTGTTATAGTTGGTGATATATCTGGGGTTAGGTATTGAACTCTGAAATCATACTTTTAAAAATGTTTTGCATCCTAATTGTACAGTTGGAATCAAATACTTGGAGAAGTAACACGTATCTATTAGCAGCTGTTACTATATTTGTGATTTGGGGAGAGGGGGTAGTACAGGCCCTACAACAAATAGCTGTTGATCGCCAGTGTTACGCCTCCACTGTGGATCACTTCAACTGCACGGTTCTTCATATAGATGATCCACTTTAAAAAATCCTTTTCGGCTTTATACATTTTAAGTAAACATCCTTGAGACAGGCCAGTCACTCTGAATTAGAAGAACCCTAAACTCAGTATCTCTCCCACCTACACACACAATTTGCTACTTCTGTGGTAGCTGGTGGCTGAAATAGAAAAGTTAAATGAAGTCCTGTTTGACAAAAACCTTTGATCCTATAGGAGTAAAAACACGCCAAGTGTTTTTACCTTCAGCGGGTCCCTTCATTTCACCGCTGTGTTATATTCCCACAGAGCTCTTTTGATCTGTGCCAACAGCATCAACTGGAATAAAACCAAAAGGCTTCCATTGTTAAGTGGATTTGCTTTTTTCTGAGGTGTTTGTTTTACCTTTCTCAAGCCTTTAACCAAAGGTAACATCTTTTTCAAGTTCCTTTCTCCCTCCAAGTAAAGTATTTAAAATAATAATAGTTTTCAAGGTTGGCCTATTGAGCTACACAAAGCCAAACATGCATTAGACAAATAACTTTTGCCTTGCAGTAAGTTCTCCTTTCAAAGTAGTTTTTAGGTAATGGGCCATCTATAACATGTAAGTTTTTTTCAAATTAGTACTAAAGATAATTACTAGAATAAGAAGTGTTTAAAGTTTTTTTTTTTTTTTTAGTCGAAAGCCTAAGAAAATATAGCACAGTTAAAAAAAAAAACACATTCTCTCAACTGGACATTCCATTGTGTTATGACTGTACTAGTTGTAAACCATTGAAACATGTCCCTTCATCTGGTAGTCTCCTGTTCCCCTGAGTTTCAGTGCCTCCCCTGACCCTAGGCCATTCTCCCATCTCAAGGGTAACAACTGGCACAGCCTGGAGCCTCCTCCATTTAAGTCATGCTGTCCTGACTTAAATGTTTTGAAAAACATGTATATTTTTAAAAATATTTTTTTAGTTGTAGATGGACACAATATTTTTTTTATTTATTTTTATGTGGTGCTGAGGATCGAACCCAGTGCCACATGCATGCAAGGCAAGCACTCTACCATTGAGCTATAGCCCCAGCCCCAAAATATCTATTTTTTTGGTCTGAAAAAGCAAAAGCAGTGTGCACCATGATTTTGTTATACCTCAACTTTTTTTTTTTTGTAATTGTAGATGGACAGAATGCCTTTATTTGTATTTTTATGTGATGCTAAGGATCAAACCCAGTGCCTCACACATGCTAGGCGAGCACTGTACCACTGAGCTACAGCCCCCAGCCCATAATTCAGTTTTTTAAAAATATTTTTTTAGACAGATGGGCCTTTATTTTATTCATTTATTTATATACGGTGCTGAGAATCGAATCCAGTGCCTCACAAGTGCTAGGCAAGTGCTCTACAGGCAAGCTCTCTAGGCAAGCCATAGCCCTAGCTCCTATACTTCAACTTTTGATCAGTAAAGTTTTCTTGGGTATAGATAAGGCAATATACAATAGCACTTTTTCAACATTTTTCATTTTCTTTGCCTGTTCTTATTTCAGAATTAATTCCTACTTTGGGAATTAGGAAAGTGGAGATGCCCCACCGAACAAGGTTTTGTGGGCAGAGGCCAACACAGGGAATGGGGAAAGGATAGTGGTCTACCAGAAGAATCATAGGTGGCAGGGTCTTGGGAAATCTGAGATTTCCAGGAGATGTTTCTGATCTCTGAGGTGCACTTATGTTTTCTCCAGTTAGAGAGAAATATCTGTGTTAGAGGTTTGGGGATTGCAAGCGTGTTTGGGGATCAGTCAAGCTAATTACCAGCATAGTAGGATTTAGATTATAAACAACACATGAGGCACCAGAACTAACAGAGCTCCAGGAGGTGGCGCCAGCACCAGAATTTGCTCTAACTCTCTTGAGGAGACTGATTCGTGGGTCCCAAATACAGTGCATTCCTGGCTATCTAACAGAAAATCTAACCCATATAGGCTTAAAATAATCAAGGGACTTCTGTTGGCTCATGTGATCAAGCTGCATGTGCCACCACCATCCACAGCAAGGTTTCTTTCCTAGAAGCCTCAGGCAGCCTTTTTCTACATCTCTGCCTGGCAGGACACCCACACAACAATGGATGCTCAATAGATGTGGAATGAGTGGATGAAATGCTTCATCATTTCAAATGTGTCCTCATCTAGTTGATTTCATTTGATTGGCACAACTTTTGGTTAGTAGAGGAAACAGTAGTCTGTTGTTTACAAGTGTGATGGTTTTACTAAGGACAAAGCTGAGCTAATGAGAAGTCATGATAACTAATATCTTTTTGATTCTGAGCCCCAGGTATAGGATAATGAAAGGCCAGCTGGGAGAGGCCAGAAGGGAGCATCAGAAATGTCCAGATGGGGAAAAGGGCCAATATGAATGAAGCAGAATGTACTATCCCATGTCTAAAACCCTTTGTTAGAGTCTGACTTTACTTTTACATTCTCTCTCAAGCTGAGAATGACAAATGAAAAGCCTATAGTTATCCAAATTGAGTTAATAATTTTTAGCTTGCTAAAAAAGAATTATTTTCCCCAGAAAGTTTGATACAAGTTACTGGAGATCATTGAAGTCTCTTTGGCAGTGATACATGAACCACATAATTCCTATCAAAAATACCGCAAAGTATTCCTATCAAAAAAAAATGTTTATATTGAATCTAAACTTCAATTTACAAAGGAATGAAATAAATCCAGAATGTGTCATTCTGTGAAGACAACCAGCCTGGTCTCTTCAAAAAGTCAAAATTCTGGGTTAAAGGAGATCAAAGAGATAACCAGTAACAGTTCTTGAATTCTGATTGGGTCTGTTTTAAAAGGTCGTGGAAAAACTGCAGGACTCAGGTAATGGACAGAATATGAACTTATTAATTTTTACTAAGTATTATGGTAGAATTGCAGTTACATCAAAGAAGTGTTAGGAGATGCTTGCTAAAGTAGGGATGACATGTCTTGATGTCTGCAACTTATTTTCAAATGGTTCAATTTTATATTCACAGTCACACAAAGAGCAAGCAGCAGAACATTCACAATATTTAGATCTGGGTAGAGAGCCTGTGGGAATTTGTTTTTTCCCCAAACTATTCTGTATTTTGAAGTTTTTTTACAAAATTGAGAGGAACTCTTTAAGATTTTCCATTTAAATCATCCTGTAAAGTGCTTTGTCCTGGCAGGAATAAATGTGGATGTTATAGGCAAGTTTTCTCAGAACATGGTTTCTGAACATTATGTATCAGAATCACAAAAAGAAAATATATGAACTACCAGGGAGCACATTAAAAAAAAAAAAATGTTCAACATCAGTCATCATGAAAATGTAAATTTAAGACTACAATGAGAAGGGCTGGGGACGTGGCTCAGTGGTAGAGTGCTTCCCTAGTAGTAGATGTGCAAGGCCCTGGGTTCAGTCCAGCACCACACAAAAAATCCTACAGTGAGATACCACTGCACATCCACTGGAATGGCCCAAAGTAGATTGACAGCATTTAGTGTTGATGAAGATGTGGAGCAACTGGACTCCTGTTTTGCTGAGGGGATTGAGAAATGGTTCAGCTACTTCAGAAAGTATGTAGTATACTGCCCAGAAATCTTATTCCCAGGTGCCCAAGGAACATGAAAACCTCTGTTCACACAAAGGCTTATATTTGAGTGTTCAAAGTAATTGTATTCACAATAGC